CTGTAAGTTGACCACAATTGACTTTTTACCCAATACAATTGATTTTCAATCATGTGATCAATTGACTGAGCAAAATTGTGATTCAAAACTTGAAACTTGGCATGAGTGTTCTTGGAGGTCTATAATGAACCATGAAATTAATTTGAGGCAATAGAAGTCCAATTGTCCATGTGAAAATCAAAACCCTAATTTGAGGCATCAGTGTTTAGGAGGTGATTTGACCTAGTCAACACTTGTGCAATCTTGAGCTATTTAAGATCTCGGTGAGAAATGTCTTGAGAAAATAAAGGGTAAATTTTGGGATACAACAACTTCCCCTGTTCAATCTTCTTAAACCTGAAAAGTTAGATTGGCGTGTCCGCTTTTCGTAACTTGAAGGTGGAAGATGATTGAACACTAAAGTGCCCAGAAATTTGCACTCGTTTGTGCACAAAGTAGTATTGTTGGTTGATTATGTTGGGAATGGACTGGAAGATGCCATTTGGCGAGGTAATGAAGAGTTAATGAAGGTCTGAGGATGTCCATTCCCCACTAGGAGAACGACCACGGGGAGGATAGTGTGTTGAACTCGTGCGGGGGCGCGAGGTGCATGTCTGCGTGCCTCTGACACTTGTCGCATTTCTTGGCATGCTCCTTGGAGTATTGCTGCATGGTCGTCCAGTAGTAGCCTGCTCTCGGTGCCTTTCGTGCTAGGGATCTTCCGCCCATGTGTTGGGCGTTGATTCCCTCGTGGATTTCTCGCAGTATCTCGGGGATTACGGATTCTTCGACACATTTTAGGAGTGGGATGGAGAAGCCTCGATGGTAAAGTTTGTGTTTGAGTACCACATACGACCATGCACATCATTTGGTTGGGGCTGCCTCTCTTTAGTCCATGGGAAGTTCCCCCTTGTCAGAAAGTTGAGCACTGGGGTCATCCAACAAGAGCTGTCCCCGATGGCATTTACCTCGAGTGACATAGTGGAATTTTCAATGCTCGGGCGAGAAAGGGATTCTTGGACGACGGATTTGTTCCCGCCTTTCTTCTTTGTGCTTGCGAGCTTTGAAAGTATGTCGGCCCGCGTGTTCTGTTCGCGAGGCACGTGCGTGATCTCTGCTCAGTCAAACTTCTTCATATGTTCTATGACCAAGTTTAAATATTCAATGAGGCTATTGTTCTTAGCCTGGTATCCCCCTTGAACTTGAGATGCGACAAGTTGAGAGTCAGTGAAAATTTGTATCTCTCGGGCACCCAAATCCTCAGCCAATCTTAATCCTGGGAGCAAGGCCTCATATTCAGCCTAATTGTTCGACGTCGGGAAAGAGAGGGTGAGAGAGTGTTCGATCACGATGCCTTCCTTGTTCTCGAGGAGGATTCCCGCTCCGCTCCCTATCAAGCTAGAAGCTTTATCAACAAAAATGGTCCACTTGTGCTTCTTCCCTATGGGGGATCGTGAGCGGTCATATCTATGACGAAGTCAGCTAGTGCTTAGGCCTTGAGGGCCTTCCTAATCTCATACTGGATGTCAAACTCCGAGAGCTCCAAAGACCATTTTAGCATTCGGCCTGCCATGTCTGGTCGACATAGGAGTTGTCTTACGGGTTGGTCTGTTCGTACGATGATTGTATGTGCCAGGAAGTAATGTCTAAGCCTCCTCGCCGCATTGACGAGGGCCAACGCAACCTTATTAATCTGTTGATACCTGACCCTAGGCCCTTGAAGTGCTTTGCTTGTGAAATACACTGGCTTTTTCCCGTATGGAGTCTCGTGAACGAGGGTCGTGCTTACAGCCTCAGCAGAGACAACCAGGTAAAGGAACAGGATTTCCCCGTCCTCTGGTTGCGACAACATGGGCGGTTGCGAAAGGATTTGCTTGAGATGGAGGAGGGCTTGTTCGTATTCCCCGATCCACTCGAAGGCCGCCTCTTTGCACAGAAGTTTGGAAAATGGAAGAGCGTGTTGTGCAGATTTTGCCACGAATCGGGAGAGCGAGGTGAGCATGTCATTTAGGACTTGTATGGATTTCTTCAAGCTAGGTGTAGGGAGCTCGGAGAATGCCCGACACTTGACAGGGTTGGCTTCAATCCCCCTCTCTGTTAGATGAAAACCAAGGAATTTGCCCGCCTTAACCCTGAAGGTGCATTTCTCAGGGTTGAATCTCATTCTGCATTGTCTCGCTTGGGCAAAGACCTTTTTGAGGTGGGCAGTGTGGTCGGTATTTATTCGAGATTTGACGATCATGTTGCCATGTATACCTCGAGCATATCACCGATCTCGTCGTGGAAGACTCTATTCACCATCCGCTGGTACGTTTCCCCTGCCTTTTTCATACTGAATGGCATTACGTTGTAGTAGTAATTGCCCGAGCTGGTCATAAAAGCAATGCAATGCTTGTCGCTTATTGCCATTGGGGGATATTTTTATACCATTCCATTACAGTTTTCCTCAAGGTCGTGGGGAACAACCGGCACTTGATCGGTCCCGCAACGTTGTGATAGTGGAGCATTGCCTCGAACCTGTCGATGTGGTTGACGAGGTCAGCAATGTCGTCATATTCCTTCAGTTGGGGAGGCTTTTCCATGCCCCTGGGAATGGGCGCCTCCATGATTGCCTGCGACAAGGGACCGCGGGGGTCCTCTTCATCACTCCTGTAGGGGGAGTGAGAAGAGTACCTATTGTAGTGGCGGTCGCAGCGGTGTCCTTGGTCTCGGGGAGGATCCCTTGGTCGAGGATGCACTTCTTCGTTGCCCCTGTTTATGTTTCCAGGGGATCGTTGTTCCCTGCGTGGGGGGGTGAGGCCACGTCTCCCGGTAGCCTCGGGCATGGTTCTCTCCAACGTGGGGCATCGGCTAGTCCGTCGGGGAGAGAGGCTTCGTGTCCTGTCCCGTCTGTGTCTCTGCGGGGGAGATTGAAGACGGTCTTCGTTCTGACGAGGAGGTGGAGTGTCATCTCTTATGTGTCTTCTAGGAGCTCGACGAGAATCCTTGAGCACCCTTAGTCGCTCACCTTGCGAGAAGATTAAATAATCCATCTGGTTAATGGTCGCGAACAGAGCCCTTATCGTGTCATCAGCGCCCGCGGGGACGTGAATCTCCTAGAAAAAGTCCGGCTCATAGTTCTGGGGCGGATGGGTGCCCTCGTGTGGTCGAGAGCGTGATGATGAAGAGGCGGTCATGTCGTCCCTGTAATTCTGCACGAGACCGACCATGTCGACGTCGTTCCCGTTGTTGTTGTTGTTGCCCATGTTGTTGACGACGTTGTTGTTGGGGTCGGCGAGATGGGCGTCTAGGTTGTTGTTGGCAGCTGGGTCGACCATGACAATCAAAAGAGTTTGAAGAATTGCTTTAGTCTCGGGTTATTGAAAGACGGGGAAGCTTATTTTCCACAGACGGCGCCACTGATCGTACCTGACCAGAGTGGATCGTCAAGGCCTACAAGTTGTGAGTTAAGCAACAATTGAAAGTGAGTTGGGGGAGTACCTGCAAGACACTCTGATGCCAAAGTAAGGTTCAAAGCAGTGCGAGCAAGTATGAAAGAATGAATACATGACCCTCTTAAGAGAGACGGTATTTATATCCCCAGTGTTGGACCAAGGTCCCCATCGTTGGACTGAGCAAGCAGGCCCAAAACAGAGACTGTCAAGTTCTACGTGCGTAGTGGGGCCAACATGTGGTCCCCAACCTGGATGGATTCTCCCGAATAGTCAGGAGGATATGGATGCGGTCTTTTCGGGACCAAGAAGACTCTGTGATATCCGGGGGTGTGGTGAGTCAACCCTACGAGGAGGGTGCTCGCGACGTCTTTGTGTCGTCGTGGGCCCTTTCCGCCAACTGTGGGGTTGTCCAGGGGGCTTGTCTTGGTCGACGAGAGGAGTTAAGGATGCTCGCGAGGTCCTCCTGACCAACGACGAGCCTCCTCGTGATTCTTGAACTTATCCCCGTACGGCGAAGCCGTGTTTTCCCGACAGGTGAGGTTACTGCCTGACATAGTTGAGGGTAAGCTCGGTCAGCAAGCCTGCTCGAACATCATAATTAGATTGAGCCTAGTATGAAGTTGGGCCACGTGCAGGCCTAGTCCATAACATAATCTATTTTTCTAATATTTATTTATTTGATGTTATTTTAAAGAATATGTACAATTAACAAACGTACTGTTGATCTAAATATTTTTTATACATGTAAAAATATATATTATTTATTCAAATATTTTTATAATATAAGAGAACTATATTTTATAATGTGAGATTTTATTTGACATAAATATCATTTGTAAATTGTAAATAATTATAAAATATCTTTTTTAATATATTATTTTTGAATGTTTTAATTAATTAAATTTAAATCTTTATATTATTTTGTATTCTACTATTTTTATTTATTCTACTGTTTTTGAATTGATGATAATATTAAATTATATAGATAATAATTATAAAATTTATTTTAATAGTTAATAATTAGTGATAATATCAAATCTTTTCAATTCTATCGTTATATAACTTTTTGTTATATTATTTTATGATAACTAATAAATATAAATTAATTTAATTAATTTTATTGTCATTTAATTTTTTATTATTCACTATTAATTTTAATAATAAATAATTTTAATACTAATAACTTTGGAGAGAATTCACTTAACCAACATTCTAATTTAATAAAATAATTTTATAACTAATATTTTTTAATATAAGTGCCTGTATAGATATGACCAACATTCTAAATACTAGTACTTCACAAATTAGTAGTTAGCCCCACCAAAAAGTTAAATAAGTGCCTGTATAGATATGAATTTACTGATGCGGATAACTGTAGCTTTGAGTGTACATGCGTTGATACTCCATAATCAAACACATGCTAAAGATAAAACTTATCATTTCCCGTCATTTTGAGTCACTTTAAGTTGAGCATGCCTCAGAACAACATAAAGTAAGGAGACGAAGTTGCATTTGTAAGTTACTGAGCAAGTAGCATCGGTTCCTCAACATCTGAAAAAAGGGCCATTGTTTTATAATCAGCTATTCTCAAGATAAAGGCCTCAAACCCCTTCTGTAAACCTTCCCAAACCAATTACATTTACCTAGTTTATTCTTTGAAACTTGGTTCACAAACAGTTTATGCCTGCCAAAGATAAAGTTCACAACAATGTAAGGTTTAAACAAGATTGTCAAGATAATGCGTTAATGATCATTTTATCAAGAATACCATGCATTTTTCTTATTCTACAAGGCTGAATAATGGCCTCCTAAATCATACATACAAAGTTCAAAAATTTATCTCTAAGTGAACAAGAGTGTTTTCACCCTTAAGTGCATTGTGGTCTTAACACACTAAAGTTGAAGGGTACCTAGTTCAGACATAACTTCAAGTGTGGCAACTGCCAAGAATGAATGTTAGGTTCATCAGTGGAAGACATTTGTATGGATAGGCTAATATATCAGGTTCCAAATATTATAGCATCACAATTCACAAGTTCCAAATGACATAAAAAAATCACATCATCAATATGAGGAATATATGATATCCATATATCAAGTTATACCTCTCGAGTTCCAATTTCTGGATTACAATTCCATTCAGAACAAGCTCCGAACTGTAAACAGAAGCTCCTGCAAATTTAAGTCTTCTCATATGTCACAGGAATAAAGGATAAAAATGCAACTTCATTGTTCATCAAGAAGATGGAAGGATTCAAAACCTCTCTCAAGGAAATGGCGGCATATTGCAAAGTCTTCTTCACAAGAAAGAATCAACAGATCATCTAAGATATTATCATTCTTGTCTGCAAATATGTGATTTTCATCCACTAGCTGAAGAGTGAAAACAATTTATAAAGAATGTGATGAACACAACATAAGAAATAATCCAAAACATCTAATATTGAAACATGTCAGTTACAGCTGTAGAGTGGCATGCATAGATGAATAGTCATACCTGGCCATGAACAGCTGTAACCAAGCTCGCAACCACCTCCTTATTAGGCTTGACGTGTGGTGTTACGTAGACACGTTTATCCTGTTGAGACAAGCAACTAGATTTTGAGGTAAGAGTGAATAAAAACTAGAGCATAACCGAAGTTCATATAATAATACATATACCTTCAGGAGTGGCTTTTGTCTTGCTCGAGCAAGAGAAACTGGCATGCTAAATCCTATTTCTTTTTCCTTTTTCATATCTCTCAAAATATAATTTTTCTCATCGATAAAACAGTTGGCTTGTCCACAACTCTCAAGCCATAAGTGTGTCAATACTAAGTTCCCAAGAGCCATTGTTTCTAGCATATTCTTTGTTCGTGTGAACTTGTCTGCTATGAAATGAGTGGCTTCCATTGAGCTTGACACAGTAGATACATTAAGACGCGCCAAGATCTGCAAGGAGGATATAACAAAATCATTATTCAATAATGGCAACATTTAGCATCTCCTATCATAAACATAGAAGCAATACTTTACCTTCTGTTGCTGCTTGAGGACACTGCCATCCAAATGTTGGCTAAGCAGAACTCGAACATTTGTCATATCTCTTCGATGTCTCGGATCTTTGCTCATCATTTCTGACGTGGATTTGGGAACTCCTAATCTGACAAGTTCCTTCAAAAGTGAAGACTTTGGCAGTTTTTTCTCACATGCCTTTTTGCGGTGCTCATTACATGTATGGTTACCATTGGAAATTTGTATGCCTTCACTTGGAACTGAAGCTGAAACTTCTGAACTTGACTGTAAAACACACTTGTTTGATGATACATCAACATGTGCCAGCAACAAGGGATGCGTATCACACAGGTTTTCAAATTTTTTAGCATCACCAGCTGAAACTGGGGGAAGACGAGATTTTTGCACATCATCTGGGACATCTAGACTTTTAGTGGAATATACATTGTTTTCTTTATCATCAATACACACAACACTTGGGGCATTAGCTCGTTTTCTTTTCCCTCTTGATCCTTTTGGATAAGTCCAAGAATCAATCTTTGAAAAACTGATGGTCGCAGATAGTTGTGGACTAACTTCAACCTGATTGTTCAACCTACTCTTTCTAGCCACACCATATGAACAAGAAGATAAATTAATATGCTTTTTCTTAAGATCATCGCGATTTTCTAGACTTCTAGTGGAACGGACATTGTTTTCATTATCATTGATATACAAAACTCTAGGAGCATTAGCTCGCTTTCTTTTGCCTCTTGGCCCTTTTGGATAAACCCAAGAATCAGTCTTTGAAAAACTGCTAGTTGCAGATAGTTGTGGACTAACTTCAACCTGATGGTTCAAACTGCTCTTCCTAGCCACACCATATGAACTAGTGAATAAATTAAGACGTTTTTTCTTAACATCATTTATCTTCCCTGGATATGCCTCCGCTAAACAATTTTGCTTCCTCTTAGGTCTAATAATCCCCTCCTCCTGATTGTTATTGTGCTTGAATGAGGAATTATAAGTTACTTTTCTAAATCTACTAGCAGACACGATTCTCTTGTAGAATTTTAGTGCAAAAGGCTGTGATCCAGGATTCTCTTTAAATGGAGAATTTTTCTGACGAGCTTGTTTCAAATCACTCAGAGATGCATCCGCCACATTATCTGATTGGTGAGCATCACTGAAATGAAAGCCAGCAGGGGATAGATTGGCTAAGGCATCCATAGCTTCAGCAGCTATTTGAGTGTCTAAGCCAATATGGTAATCGTTTTCTGTATGTGCTTCATTAGAATAAACTTCAACATTCTCTCTTGGGGCAAAGGACTCAATATCCAATTCCTTCAGAGAGTTATTATTGTCAGCTGCCATTCTTGGTTCTCGAGCTAAATTCTCACCACATATATTACTTGCACCACATTTTCCTTGGTTCTGAGAATGACTACCTTTTTTTTCTATTCTTCTCCTATACGTCAGTCCGTGGCTTCCGAAATTGAAAGCTGCTTTGATTTTTTTACTGAAAACACCAGCTTCTTTTTTAATTTGATCATTTTCAGCCCATTTGAAAATGTCGTTATCTTCATTTTGAGTTCGAGCGTTAAGTTTCTTAGCCAGACTTAATGATCCTCTTGCACTCGAGACATGAGGTGATTTCTCCCTAGTGATCTTTCCATTTTGAACTCCTTGAAACAGGTCCATGTCTAGTGATGACAAGTACTGATCCACAAAGCCTAGAGCAGCTAGGGTTGAATCCTCAGGCTCTGGTGAGTGGTATCGATGGTTGTTATCATCAAAGCTCTCAGCATTAATTGAAGCTCTTTCGTCCCCTTCAAGCATATTATGTTTTTGAAAAGTCAATCATCCATGAACTACTCTAAAAACAATTACTTCGCTAATTACTTATTTATAAGGTAAAAAAGGTAAATCAAAGCAAGAATGGCTACGAGAGATACCGCACAAAAAAAGGAAGCAAGAATTATCAAAAAGACCAAAAACTGTTAAATGGTGATAAACAAACGCATACCAGTACCAGATTTCCCAGAAGTGACTGCATTTGATTTTGAGTTTGCTTGCTCACAAAGTATCTTAGACAATCTTTTCTTGAAGAGCACCGGCAAATTGCTTACTGCTGAACTGTTTTCACCAACAGTCACTTTGCCTGCATTATTCATTTCTTCGTCCTCGCTATCAAGCACCACTTCTGTCTCATAGTCACACTTCGCATCAATTGTCAAATTCTCAGGCTCCGAATCCTCTACCATCTCAGTATCATTCAGATTGAGCATTTCCACCTCAGTTTCTGTGAAAAGACTATGAATAACTAAAGTATCCTCAAAAAGCTCAGTTTCCTGATACTTTTCAAACCCATTCGCGTCTTTGACTCCATCTCCTAACCATATCGAATCAACATTCTTATCAACGTAAACAAGTTTAATCTAAATCCCACAATACACAACATAAAGAAATAGAAGCAACAATAGCATTCACTATTCACAATTACTTCTAAACTATTAATGACAGACACCCCAAACATAAACATGATGCCAACACTGACACGGAAGTACCGGTAATAATTTGAAAAAATAATAACTTAAATGTGATCACAAGTGTCGGTGCAGGTGTCTGATACTGACACTGACACACATAGCTTCTAAACATTTACATTTTTCCATACATACATTTTCAAATCAACCTAATGCATATTTTACCACCATGGATGGATGATACTCTGTTGATCAAATTAAGTGCATTAAACTCGATTTTAGATTCAGATTAACATATGAACGGATTTACGTGCCTTACTTCAACCAAATCAAGTATAACAGTTCTAAACAAAAATCAATAAGAAACTACAATACATTCAGAAAAAACGCAGTTTCTGATCAAACCTTCAAAGCTTAAAGAAAATGAGAAAAACCAATACAGTTTAAACTAACAACACTTGTTTTCCTCATTTTTTTCCCAGCTCTATCTCAGCAAGATTCAATCGTGAAATGAATGATCGAAGTAAAAAAAGAAAACGAAAAACAGAAGCGTTGAAGAATCGGAAATCACCATCAAGTGCAGATGAAGGTTTAGTGTTCGTCATTGAAATGGAAACCCCTTTCACTATGATGAGAGTGAAAATGAAGTAAAACCCTAACACTGTGATCAAATTGTTAACAACGATTTATGAAGTGAAGATGAAAAACCACAGCAAATTTATGAATGAAAATATGAAGCGGAATTTCAGTTTTGGAGGGAAAGTGAAAATTATTTTTAAATTAAATCAAATTTAATATGTGAAAAGTACACATCAACGGGCATTTGGTCTAGTGGTATGATTCTCGCTTAGGGTGCGAGAGGTCCCGAGTTCAATTCTCGGAATGCCCCATTTTTAGTTTTTTCCTTATTATTTAATTCATTATCAATAAAATATGTTTCTAGAGTATTATTATGTGTAGTTGTATTATTATGAAGAGTCTAATTCCATGCATCTTATCCTAAAAAATATTCATTGACCAAACTACCCTTTCAGTATTTATTTTTTTCTGTAACAAGCGCTTAAAATTAAAATCACTTTTTTATTCTTCATCTTTAACGCTTATTAAGTCTAGAAAGATGCAAAGCAAAAGGTTAAAGACTCAAACTACATTACTCTGCAGTGTGTGAGATCTGTTTCATTTTTTTTTGCAGAAAATGATGTTAAGAATTTGCTTAAGGTTGGCTTCACACTTAATTTTTCTGCTTTTATCTATACTTCAGTTTGGTGATTAAAAATAATTAAGTAAGAGATGTTTTGCTTGAGTTTTTCAACTTCTGCACTGCAGTGTTAATTTGGTTAATCTAATAAGTGGTTGTTAGTTTATTTCTATAACCTTGAATCCTGCAAATGAATTTTTCTTGAAGTTGCGAATAGTTTTCAGCTTACTCTATTTCTCTGCTAATGTTAAAAACAGAAAAAATATTCCTTATGCAAGGCCTTTGTTTACTGAGAGTTTCTATAGGTTATTGTCTACTCGGCCCGAAAGGTATGACCTAGTAAATGTTATTAATATTATGTGAATGTTATCCAAAGAATCGTTGTTGTTTTATGTTAATTAGTTCACATTTGATGTGGTAATCCAGGAAGTTACAAGACAAGGTGGCACTGATAACTGGAGGAGCTAGTGGAATAGGAAGAGCAGCCGCAACAACATTCATTAATAATGGAGCGAAAGTAATTATTGCCGATATCGACCAACAACATGGCAGAGAGACTGTGAAAGAATTAGGACCTAATGCAACTTTCGTAACATGCGATGTCACGAAAGAATCAGACATATCGAGTGCGGTGGATTTTGCAGTTTCTGAATACAAACAACTTGATATCATGTATAACAATGCAGGAATACCCTGCAAAACTCCTCCAAGCATTGTTGATCTTGATCTAGAGTCGTTTGATAAAGTCATGGACATTAATGTTCGCGGCGTTATGGTTGGGATCAAGCATGCTGCACGCGTGATGATCCCGCGCGGAACTGGATCCATTCTATGTACTGCTAGTGTCACTGGTGTGATAGGAGGGATGGCGCAGCATACTTACTCGGTATCAAAGTTTGCGGTTATAGGCATTGTTAAATCTTTAGCTTCAGAGCTATGTAGGCATGGGATCCGAATCAATTGCATTTCGCCTATTGCCATACCTACTCCTTTCGTCATGAACGAAATGAATCAGATATATCCGCATCTTGAGTCTGAACGACTTGTAGAAATTGTTCGCAATGTTGGTGTACTAAAAGGAGCTAATTGTGAACCGAGCGATGTTGCTAATGCTGCACTTTACCTTGCATCGGATGATGCTAGGTATGTTAATGGACATAATTTAGTTGTGGATGGAGGTTTCACATCTTTTAAGAGTTTAGAGTTTCCTGCACCAAATCAAGTGCAGTAGAAGTTTGCTCAATGATACATTAAGGTAAATGTAGTTCTAATCCTCATGCAACAGAGGATTCAATAAGGTTTATGTAGTTCGATAAAACAGTATTCCAGTTTCCAAAAGTGCTTATTTTTTAAGTTGTTTTCACCAGAATGTTTCCAGAAGCTTATACAATACATTAGAATTACTTTGTGCATCCAATAGCATTTACATCAATAGAACTCTTTACGATAGCATTTCCATCACCTTTTGACCGAGGAAATCAAACCACACTTTAGAGTTTAGATGATGCTTAAACATATATAACTTAAATCAAACTTCTGGCCAATTGCTTAAGGGATCAAGCATCTAATCAATTTTTGTTTATGTATATTCTGATTCAAGATTTGTTTATGAAATTCATAACTATACAGTTCAAAATTAGGTTTGGTTTGGACACTATACATTATTGATTAGTGATACCAGCTTTTGCTAAAAGAGTTTCATGTAGGACCTTTGATGCTTACTCATCTACCTTGTTAGATTGCAGACAAAGATTCCATTGCATAATCAAGTGTCCTAATCAGTTAATATTCATAAACAATAGTCTGCCAGTGGTTTAAGGTCTTAATTCATTCATAACAAAGTGTCATTCAAGGCATGCATTGGGTTCAGTAGCTGAATTGAATGCTAGTTCTTGAATATATTCGAGAGAGAGAGAGAGAGATGAAGGTTGTGCATCAGTGACACGACAACTTCTCCGTGAAGATTATAATCTTCCCGAAAAGGAACCTTGTCTCTTGACAACAACCTAAAGCAGAATGATAACAACATGAATATACACACAGCTTCATGAGACTCATTTCATTTTTCAACAAGCAATGAAAAGAAAATGGAAATAAACACCATAAGATACACAGGTCACTAGGTTCCATACACTAAATCGGGTACAAAAATTAAAAATACAAGAGGTTTACCGGAATTCAATTAAGTTTGATAAACTATAATATCTCAAACAAGATTCCTTATCAAACTCTTAAGTTCACAAATGGATGATAAATTCAATGATACATGAAAGAGGCATCAAAGAGTGAGTTATGCAACTCTATAACAAAGAAACAAGTTACTAGACTTTACTATACAATAGAAGAAGCAAATCCAATCCTACTAATAGTGAAAAAAACCAAACCACATGGAGCTATAAAATTCAATTTGGGTGGCAGAATGTTTCGATCCGTTGAGCAATAAGGCTAACAGCAGCATTTGCAGACGAGAACGCGCCATGAAAACTTTCTTTATAAGAAATGGACTCCAATTCATGTGCCATGTTCAACAAAATGTCACTCAAATCAGTTTGTTTCTGTATCAAAGAATTGTAATAGGATTTGGCAGCAACCTTGCTTATCTCCACATTGGTTTCTTCAGGACAGTACTCATCATCCAACCATTTATGCAAACTAACCCTAAGCCACTCTGATTCCTAATAATTGTAAGAGAAGAAAAAAAATCAACAAAAACACATCCTCACTAGAATTAATAGAATTAGTTACAAATTAGTTACAACATGCGCAAATTAGTAACTAACTTATGCGTACATTTTGTATGGATCAATTTGTAACTAACTCTTGTGTAATCAATTTGTAACTAACTTACGATTAATGACTAAATTGCATATAGTGTAACCAATTTGTAACTAACTTTCAATTGCTAACTAAATCGCATTAGTGTAACAATTTTGTGACTAACTTGCAACTAATTTGTAACTAACCTGCAACTAATCCTAACAGATTTTTTAGTAATTAGTAATCATAACTAACTCTAACTAACTTAAATAATATTCAACTAATTCTTAAAAGAACATGAGAGTTGTAAATATTGTAAAATTGAGAATGAATGAAAGAAAAGAGTAATACCTTAGAGGCATTGGTTGGGAGTGACCAATGGGGAGGAACACGGAGGTCTTGAACTTGGTCGTTATCGGGTTCTGGAAATGGATGAGAATGTGAATGGGTAGGAGTAATGCGAGTGATTATCGGTGAAGAAGATGAAGAAGAATAAGTGTGTTGTTGGTGGTGGTGGTGAGTGAGTGTTCCGGTGATGGAGGAGGATGGTGAGAATGGGGTGATACAAGTGATGCTGCGGGGACATGGAGTTGTGGAATGAAGTAGATTCAGTTTCAAGCTTTGCATCATTATCATTGTAATTGTTGTTTTGTATTCTTCACTATAAGAAAACTGCAAAGTGATGCACTGGAGTATCAATATGAACCATTCGTTCATTCTTTTTTTTATTATTTTTTTTATTTCTGGATCAGGTCTGTTCCAAGGCCAATGCAATAATTTCGAAAGATATTTTTTTATAAAATAAAAAAATTAAATGTGTTTATAGCTCTAATAAAATAATAATTTTTAGATGAAACCAACCATTCATTTTGTAACTATGTAAGGACATTCAACTATTATTTGAAAAGTAAAATTCGAGTTTTTAGTTTACTAGACTAAAAAAAAAATTATTTTATTTTAATTAATTTTTAATCCTGTTATACAACATATATTTAGTGTTGTCTTTTTGTAAAGTGAGTCCGTTTATTAATTTGTAAAGATTAGAAGAATTAATTTAAATAGAAAATACACCCACCTCCGTTAAAATCACTCTCATTGATTTTTAAATATTTATTGACTTCGAGGTCTACTAAAATAATACTGACACTTTGTATATTTTTAGTGATAGTAAAAAATTATAAATATATAATATTTAGACTGTCACTATAATTTTTTGTTAATATATATATATATATTTAAAGAATATTAGTGCATGATTTAAAATTATAGAGAGTGTCAATATTTTTTTAACAAACCACAATGTAATTTTCTTTTAATTTAAAAAGGTATAGTACAATCTTAAAGATAAAAAAATTGTAATGAATCAAGGACGTTGATTTGATAAGCTATTAGTTTGAATTTACAATTTTTATTTTATTTTTCAACTCTAACTGTGTGAGTTATGTCATTCACTTTTTTTTTTGTACAAATAATACAACTAAGTAAGCTCATAAATGAGGGTAGACTTTAATGTTCAAACAACTATCTTTTTTTTTTTTGACCAAATGTTCAGACAACTGTTAGGTACTAGTACTTGCCTATAAAAAAACTGTTAGGTACTTATAAATTATTCATAAAGAAATCCTTAGAGAAATTAATGAAATTAAATAT